ATTCTTTTGGAAGAACATAGTATGTCGCTTCGGGCTACCTCGGGTACTGATCTCCGACAATGGTAAGCAGTTCGAAGACATCAAATTCCAGAACTGGTGCCAAGACATGGGAATTCAACAGAACTTCACCTCAGTGGCGCACCCTCAAGCAAACGGTTAGGCGGAAGTCACGAACAGAGCTATCCTCCGCGGACTAAAGGCATGCTTGGACCAAGCTAAGGGGCTATGGGCAGACGAGCTGCCTAGTGTACTATGGACTTATCGTACCACGGTAAAGACCGCTACAGGAGAGACCCCCTTCAACCTCACCTACGGCACCGAAGCAGTCATTCCACCAGAGATCGAAGTCACCTCGCTGAGACTAGAAGCGTATGAGGTGGTGATGGCGCTCGTGTCAAGCTCGGGGTATGTATGCCTTATCAGCCACCTACTGAGCTTGAATCCCTTACGATAGGCCTCCCCCAGAATGACATCGAACTTGTCTGATTGAATGTACTCCGCGACAGCCTTGATCTTTGTCTCCTCTATGGCTTGAGTAAAGATCTCGGTCTTCTCCTCGATTTCAGCCTTGAGGAACTCCACCTCATGCAAAAGAGCCTTCTTGTCCTCCTTAAGGCCTTCTGCCTCTGCTCTAAGGGCATCCAGCTCGCCCCTCAGCACGCCCTTCTCACGTGTCAGCTCTGCTTTGAGGGCGTCCATCTCGCCCCTCAGCACGTCCCTCTCACGTGCCAGCTCCTCCTTCTCCGCCATCAGTGCCGCGATGACGTTCTTCTGGGCCACGACGTCACTCTCCAGCCGGTGGATCTGACCACGAGCTACCCTCAGATCGGCATGGGCTGCGCAGGACGACTCCTCGGCGTTCAGAGCCCGCTTCAAGTTCCTCTCGGACTGAAGAGTCAGGGCATGCACGGTGGAGTTTGCCTAACCAAGAAAGTTGGTTAGCACTAAAGAAATGTATGTATATATGAAAAGAGGGGAGAAGAGAGAGAAGGAAGAAAACTTACCACAATGGTGTTGGTAGCAGCTTGGGCTCCGAGCTGAGCAGGGGTGAGATCGACCCAGATCGAGACTTCCTCGGCATAAACAGACCCCTTGCTCTTCCAAAGGCTGCACTGGGGACCAAGATACTTCGGTCCCCGTTTGGGTTCCCCGAGCTGGGAACTGCCATCTCGGCTATGTGGATGGGCTCAGCAGAGACCTCAGTTACTACATCGGTAGCCCCGGTGACGACCTTAGGCTCAGCTGCTGCCTTCGTAGCAGGCTCAGCCGAGGTCTCGGGCTCCCGAGGTGGTACGGACTCCTCCAAGTTGATGATCGAAGGGGCATCAGGGAGCTCGGGCTCAGAAGAGGGAGCCAGTGGAAGCTTGGGCTCGGGAGCGGGGGCCGGCGGGGACTCAACGCGAACTCTCTTAGCAGCCCGCTTCTTCCTCCCCTTCATGTGGTTGAAGAGCTTATCCCCCTTGAGTTTCTCCGCTTCCATGGGACCTGCAACAAAGCTCGGCATTAGTAAACTCAAAAATAAAAGGAGGAAGAAAGTGCAAGCCAAGTGATAGAGGTACTAAGACTACCTACCCGGGCTCAAGCCAACCTAGATGAGCTTGCTCTTGGTGATATAATCCTTGTAACTAAACCCGAGCTCAGCCCACGATTGGAGCGTCTCCCTTGTCTTCTTATCAAGGATGATGTCAGGGTCTTCGATAGCTGCCCTCCATTGAGTAGGGAAGGGCCACCCCGCGGGGTTCCGAACTACGAAATAGTCCTACTTCCAAGCCAGAATCTTGCTCGGAAGCTTGTGCAGCAACTTGAAGCCTGGGCGAGGGGACAAGTAGTAGGCCCTCCTGTGCTCGGAGAGAACGCATGAAGCGCTCTTCTTTATGGTGAGGATGGAACAAAATATGTCCAAGTTTAGGGGGAGGACATACTCGTAACAAAGGGAGATGGTCCCAACCACGTTACGGACCGAGTTCGGGTGGAGCTGGTCTATTGTAACGTTGAAGTGATTCAGGACCTCCACAATAAGTGGGTGGAAAGGAAGATGGTGCCCGGCTATAAGCTGCTCCCGGAAGATCATGACCTCGTCAAGGCTGTGTTTCCATGGGAAGTTACCCGCAGGTAGACTGTAGGTGTACTCCCTGGGCAGGTTGTACTACCGGATGAGGTAGCGAAGCCTCTCCAGGGTCATGATGGAGGGGTCGAATCTGTCCGGCATCCAAGCTCGGTGAGAGGTGGACGCCAAGTTACCCGAGGCCTTCCGCGCCTCAGGAGACTAGACTCCAGGGGGATCACCCTGAGCCGAGGTACCCACCTCGGGCTCATCTAATTGGCTATCAAAACTAGAAATAATAAAATTTGAAGGAAAAGAAGCTAGGGTGACTCACCAAGGGAAGATGACCGAACTAGGGAGAACTGACCCGAGCCGGAGGCTTTGGACGCGAGCTCAAGACTAAGGCTGAGGATTTGTGGTGAAGGAAAAATGGCCAAGACCCCTGCTATTTATAGCCACTGTACGCGGCATCGACAGTTGAGATCAAAGCGATCTAACGGTCCTCGTGAAAACCGGCTGCGCGACCCCCGAGGCAAAATCGGTTTAGCGCATTTTTTGACGTCTGTGGAGTCCATAAGTCGCGTGACGTCCGCGAGTAGACCATACGCGACCCGGGCTACGCCTGATTGAGCCGAGTAGAGAACCGGTCCGACCAATGAGCTGGCGGACAAGAAGGCTTAAGCCTCGAGCCAAATCCACCCGATAGACCGCGGACTCCCCGCGCTGGGTCAGAACCCCCAGCACAGGGAGTGGGGGCAATTGATGTAGGGTGATTTGGCCCGACCTCGTAGCACGGGGACACGTGGACATGACCTGGCATAAGTGGCAACTACACGACAGCCTGGCCACAACTCGGCGTAACAAGCTCACCGAAGCTCGGTCGAACGACTCGGCAGGTGTGGCAACTCGCCGGGAAGCAAGGCCCAGCTCACCCCGAGCCTTAAGGGTGGAAAGCCCCGAGCTCTCCTCGAGTCCCAAGCTCCTCCTAAGGGGTTTCGAGCTCTCCCTCCATAAGAAGGGAGCACCCCGACTTTTGGCTGTCCCAAGGGAGAAACACCTCGGGATAGCACCGTCGACACTCCTATTCATACTTGCTTAAGGCTCGCCCCCAGTGTGAGCACCTCGGCACCTCGGTGCAAGGTATCTCAGCCCCAGGCAGTTCGGTGCAAAGTAGCTCGGCAATCTGCAGGGAAGATCTGCTTGACATCCGTACCTGTCAGATCTGGTGGCAACACCCACGTCTCTTGCCAGGCGGCGTCGTGCCTGCCATCTCTGAAAAGCATGGCACGCCTGACGAGTCCGTACCTTGCAGCAACAGCCTGCACCCGCCACCTTAACCCTGGCAGTAACGGCTAGGGCAGTGGCATTTACGCCTGGCGTGACTGAGCTCCGGTATAAGAGGACCCCGACCCTCGCGAAGCAAAGGTATTAAAGCTAGCACTTTCGGCACTCTTAACTCTCTGTGTTTTCCTTGAGTTTTCTCAGAACTCTAACTTAGCCATCGGAGTGTTCCCGCCAGGAGAGCTCCCTGGGAATCCTTCACATTCCTCTCCGTTTCAGGTATCGTCTGTCACATCTAGGAGCCAGGTTTCAGCCAACTAGGAGTGCCCAGATTATGCTGCATCAATAATGAATGCCAAATTGCATAAGGCATTTGAGTGACACTAGTAAACTTATTACCACCTATGATGCATATAAATTTAATGTTTATCTGTTTAGAGTATGGTTATCATGTATGATGTATTCATGTTAAATTGGGATTTGGTCCAAGGGAAGAGAAAGGATTGCAAGGAAAGGGGGGGGGGAAGAGAAATAGGGTTGGGATTTTTGTTTCCTTGGAGGAAAGGAAATATTTTTCTTTTCTTTTGTTTTTTTAGTCTTTCAAAAAAACAGGTAAAATAAAATATATGTTCAATTCAAAACTTTGTAATGATATTTTTAAATACAAGGGAAAATTCCCGATTAGTATCCTGTACTTTGGGATTAGTGCCACTTTGGTCCTCAAACTTTAAAATGCAACAATTTATTATCCGAACTTTTAGAACATGACAATCCAGTACTTATTGTTAACTAGTTGTTAACCGGCCGTTATGTGGCATTTGAAAAAGAAGCAAATGCCCTTTGAGTGTCATCTAATTTTCTTTATCAACCATCCAAACATTGACAAAAAATTAACAACCTCAAATCCTTGCCTCTTCCATTCAAGAAAGTTGATATCACGTTTGAATGGGCATTTTGGTGACCCCAACTTTCTTAAGTAGAAGAGACAAGGACTTAAGGCTGTTAATTTTTTGTCAATGTTTGGATAGTTGATAAAGAAAATTAGATGACACTCAAATAACATTTGTCACGTTTTAAAAGTTTGGTGCTAAATTATCACATTTTAAAGTTTAAAGGCTAAAGTGGCACTAGACCCAAAATATAGGGTATTTTCCCTAAATATAAATAAGTAAAGTATATGCAAAGTTTTGCATTTAATATATTTATTTCTGCAATATTCTCATACTTAGCGTTACAACAAAAACAGCTAACTGCAAATTCAAAGACAGTTTTGATAGTGATGACAATAGGATACCTTGTGCCTTGCATATCGTGAATGGTATTATGGGAGACCAATGGGGCTATTGGATTGGTGTTGAACTGTTGATGTGAGGTTTTAATTTTTCTTTTTATCGTGAAAAAACAATCTAAAGTTCTTTTACTGATACCGGGTCAATTACAATGAATCACGTGAGATCAGTACACGTGGGCCCTACGTATTAGGCTGACGTGGTGTATATTAAGTGGTTAGCGTCCTTGCTATCGGGGCCTATCGCAGAGGATTCGAACTGCTTTTGAAAATGCTGGACGACCCGATTAGAAGAGATATCATCAAAAGAACAAGATTCTGATCTAACGGTTCCTTTTTTCCATATTTTATCAGGTCAAAGCTTCTGTTATCTATCGAAAAACATATACCATCACGGCGTCTCTCCTTTCCGTATCGGTTGCGAGGGCAAAACACGGCAGTAGCTATCTATCTGATATTCCCAACTCCTGAGGCAAAGAGGCGCTAGGGTTTGGGTTCGTGAAATCTGTGAGGCATCTCTCTCCACAGCTCTAATGGCGTTAAGGAACTTCTACAACGAGATCAGAGGAATGAAAGTGAAGGACCTCCCTACGCATCTGAAGCCTATGTTCTCTGTCGATTACGTGAAGAAGTCAATTAGTAGAGGCTTGGATAATTACCATGCCAAATACATCCAGACCAGCTCGATCGATCCTCTCTTCCATGTCTGCTTCGGTGGGATGATCTTCTCTTACCTCGTCGCTCTTCCCGAAGAGCGTCGCCACCTCGAACACCAGCAACATGCGAAGGAGCATGGCGGACATTAAGCCTCTCCGGTCGATCGGTATGTTTGATCAAGGTATTAATTCATGCGAACCTCAGTAGTGTGTTTGATTTAATAAAATGTAAAATAGTTAGCTCTTTCTATGGTGGCAAGTTCCTCTCTTGACATGAAATTGGCACTCGAAACTGAATCTGGGAACGATAGTTACATTTTAAATTATTTAATAAATTGGAAAGCTTCAACTAGAACGGACCTGATTTTTGTTTTTTCTAAGTAATGCAATTATGTGAGAAAACATCTGACTTCGACAACGCAGGGAATTCAGTATGATTGATGGGAAACAAAAGGCTGAGGAAAATTAAGAAGATCCTCAAATTTTTGGTCGAATTAGACATGTGAAATATCTTCCTGTGTAAGTCTTTTTTTGGCAGACAGGATATGATTTTGATACATATTTAAATCTCCTTTAAGCATCACTGGCCTGTTGGTTTTGAAAGGAGAGTTACTTCAGCATTCAATCGAAAATGCTTCAAAAAAATGCTACATTCTTTTTAACTTTTTGGACAAAATTTTACGTTCTTTGTTGAGCCTTTGTTGTTTCTCTTGTTGGGGCAAATGGAGATGCTTATGTTCAAGATAGTATGTAAGAGTTAAGGAGAATGAAAGTGTTGTTTCTCTGTATGTCTTATTGAGCATTTTTTTATTCATCCTTCATTTGGTAATGTATACTTCGATTATTAGATCAGAGACCAACAACTGATGCATGTCACGTGTATCAGGTAAAGCATGGGGGTACAATCAAGGGGTATGCTTCTACTTTTCCAAGCTGTAGTGCTGGTTTTTTCTTGTCCCTTATGTCTAGTTACTTTAATAAATAAAATTGCTGGTCAACTAGTTGGTAGTCAAATTAGTTGACTTGGTGAATGTTTGAATTGCCTGCTGCATCATGAGTATCAATTGACTAGTTACAATGCAATCATTTTGGCTATCAAGTTTAGTTGGATGACTAATCATTGACTAGTTGATGCTTTTGTAGCACCACCATTTGGTAACCTCCTTGGAATTTAATTAGTCAATTTACTTTTATAGAGTGCTTCTTAACAAGAAATTGCTTCTTATGGAAATGCTTTGCCTTTAATTTATTGGTTTTTGAGGATGATATAGTTGTTGGAATATCAGAGGTGAAGGTATGTTAATGGGCTAAGGTGCTGAGGACAGAAATTTTATGAATGTTTACTAAATAGGTCTTGTTAAGGGTGAGCCATGGCCAAGAATTTTGTTTCAGGTAGATGGAAGTGGCTGTACTGAGTGCATGTCAGGAGGAACATGAGATTAATTCATATCATATCGATATCACACTCCTTTCAGATCTCTAATGTGTAACTTTGTTGCCTAGATATGGATAATACAGACATGGGTCTTTGGTTCAGAGATCGCCTAATTTGGAGGAATCTGTCAAGAAAAAGAAAGAGGTTAATGATGCAAGTCAATTGTTTGAGAAGAATTCAATGCTAGAACTGGAAAGACCAATGAGGAATATAAGGATGCCAAGAAGTTTAGGGAGAACTCTGTAACAGTTAGCACATTTAGAAGGAAGAGGAAGCATTGAGACATTTTGGTTTCAAGTGTTTTTGCTAGATTGGAAAGGGGTCTATTTGGGATTGGACCAAACAAGAAGTCATTGAACCCTAGTAGGTCTGTAAAGAAGTAGGGAGTTCCTGGTTTGCCTTTTTTGGGCGTTGGTGGCTTGCCTGTTTCATATTCATTGGTGCTTATCGGATGTAAGGGGTTCTGGTTTCTCTCAATTTGGAATTCAGTATCATCTTGGAGCAATGCTGTCCTGAAGCTTATTTACTTAGGATCAGTGTTTTTTGGTTGTGGTTGTTCTTATTTCCTTGGGTTGAGAGTTTTGATTCTTGTTTTTATTTTCTGGGTGACTTTTTTCGCTAGGAAGAGTTTGGTGGGGTCTGGATTTTTTTTTCCTTCTCTTGCAGTGATTTAAAAGGCGCGCCTAGGCGAGGCACATTTTAGGGTATGCGCCTCGCCTAGGTCCTAGGCACAACCCTTTCAAAAGGCACACTTCTGATGTGCCTTGCGCCTCAGCCCAAGTGTGTGCCTTTTTGCCTTTTCAAAGTTTTGCACTTTTTTGCTTTTTTTTGTACCTAGCAGCTGGGCTGGGGGCTCCGCCCCTAGACCCCCGACTATGCCCCTCGAGGCAAGCCCAAACAAGTCCATGTTAGGGTCTTAAATTTTTAATTCTCAAATAAAAAATAATGATTTTATAATTTTAAGTGCCTTTTAAAAAGATTGCTAATGTTGTCCATTCATTCGTCCTAATAAAGTATCTTCTTAAAAGGCAATTAAAATTATAAAATCATTATTTTTTTAGAATTAAGAATTAAGATCCTAACATGAACTTGTTTGGGCTTGCCTCGAGGGGCATGGTACAAAGGCGACTCATAGATTCAAGAATGCAATATGTTTTACATCACGTTAGCTACTTGAAGTAATGCAAGTGAGTTAAAAAAAGAGATTGTGGGTTTTACATGCCTGAAAATTCTTTACATGTTTGACTTTATTTTTAAATTTTCATTTGAATACATTTTACATGTTATGTTTATGTATTTTATTTTAGATAATAGGTTTTTTAAATGTTTATTTTTAAATTTAAGTTTATATTTTTTATTAAAATTATATTTAATGATTTTTATATTTTACATTTTTTTGAATTTTCTGATTTTTTTTTTTGTATTTTTGTGCCTTGCTTCGAAAAGGCACACACCTCACCTTGCGCTTTTAAAATACTGTTTTCTTGAGTGATCGCTGGTCAACTTCCTTGTATCAATTTATTTTTTTTTCTTTTAATCAATTTTATTTTATTACAAAAAATGGACATGGGCTATTGGGTATGGGGAAATGGGAGCATGATTCCTATTTCCTAAAATCTTGGGTACAAACCCTAGGCACCTACAGGTATCTATGTGTATAGCTGTAAGCTGTTTTTTTTTTTTTTTTTTTTTTTATGAATGACTATAGCTGTAAGCTGTTTACATATTGAAAGAAGAAGATATATCGGTTTTAGGCGCTCATAATATAATAATGAGAAGAATTTTTTTCTACAAAATGTCTATATTTTTGTGTTTTCCTCTATTTTTTATATATTTATTATTTATGCGCTCATAATTTAATAATGGATATGCATTAATTAAGCAGAACAGAATGGCAAAAGAAGATTCATGTAGCCAACCCCATATAGTTGGGCCAAGGCTTAGATGATGACGATGATGTCACAGGTTGACCCATTTGACTTGGATGGTTGGACTAGCAACCTACCACCCAGATAGAAAAGTGATTCCATTTTTGGATTTGTTTTGATAAATATTTTTTTGGATTGCTTTTTCAAAAGCATTAGTTTGTTATGGTGTTTTGGTCCCATATGAGATGCCTGTGTTTTTTTTCTATTTCTTTTATTATAGTGTTGAGGAGTTGGGGTTCTGATGTGTCAAATCTGGAGTGGTATTAAATATTGTCTGGAATATGAAATAGGGCAGATATACTGCGAGATGAGAATTGACATTTAATGGATGTTTTGATATTTTGTCTAGTGGTGGATGAAAATGAGTTAACAATATCTGTTGAGTATCCAGCTGTAGATTAGGCATTTGCAGAGATCCCTAGGAATTTCATGGCTGATGGTATTGGTGTTGGTAGGAGGTAAAGTAATCAACTAATCATTGTTGTCATCTTTGCTGGGAGTAGGAAGCTCATCATAGTTTGTCTCTTTGCATGGTTACATAAATCCTTGCATATGAAGTGAATTTTCAATTCTTTATGAATAAATTCCTCTGGTTCCATCTAACAGTTGAATTTCTAAGTTAAACCAGTGATGGTTATCATCTGCACATTGCTGCTAAAACTGACACCTTCTGAAAAGGATGATCCAGGCTAACTGCAGGATCATCAAATCTGAAGGCCTAAATCCACCTTTATTCTGCATGCATAAACCTCAACATATCCAGCCTTTTATTTTCTCAGAGTTCTATCTGTGCATTACTTGGTGAGTGAATGTCAGAAGAACCAACCCCTTTCTCTTCAACAACCACTGCTACTGCTTCTATGTTATTACCATAGTTGTCAATTTGTAACCTAGATGACAAGCCATCCTTTTTTGGGCACCTTGCCTAAGCCCCATGCTTTATATAAAAAGGTGCCTGCCTAGGCATAGGCACCTGTCTAGGTGATAAAATAACCATTTAGCAATAAAAATCATAGGACTGTGAACAGTTCGGTTTGAGTTGGATATGCCTAGATCCCAATTTGATTCATAAACATCCGGATTCAAATCCAGTTCAGATTACAACCGGATATTGAATAGCATTAATAAATTAATCTAGAATTGATCAAAATATTATTTTTATTATGCAGATAAAAAATATTATTTTTTATTAACAAAGTGAACTAAAAATGACTTTTAATATTATACATCATGAACAAAATAAAGCGAAAATAACTAGATCTTCTGCTTCACTTTGATGCCAGGATTGCCTATCTAGTCATTGAAAAAACAGTACCAATTTTCATTTGTATTCTTGTTTTTGTTGGTGATCAATAACGTGAATCTGTCAAGGGAAGCTAAAGATACAGAATGAGTCCTTCTATGAGAGTGAAGGGCGGGAAACCCAAAACATTTTTTTACTGTAAATAACACAGAGAGGAGCAGATGAAATTTGCTTCGTCATACTCGGATACTCCTTTTCTAGACAAGCTATCAGCCAGGAATTAGCCAATTGTTGGACATGTGCGAATGAGATGTTCACTGCCAAGTGTTTTGTTGAAGAAAACATCTAGAATTGATTGTGTATTTTTTATTAGTGGTATATAGGATATGCTTATGCTTCTTGCTATCTTTCTATGTCTTCAGTATATAGAAAGTTGGTACAGGGCAGTATTAACAAAGCATTGACTAGACAATTGACTAGTCAGTTGAGGGCCATACCAATGAACTGGGATCTCCTGCCAACAAAACATTCCAACACCCTACCAGCATGCTCTGACTCCATACATCTCACCATGATACTGGGACCCACCATCTATGAGATGTGCAGTGTCAGATCATGTTGGTAGGGTGTTGGAATGTATGTTGTTGGCAGGAGATCCGGATTCCATACCAACTGTATCACTAATTAGTTGGATCATACTCATGATGCATTCACCTAGGATGACTAGTTGGTTCAGACTCATGATGCCTTCCATACGAACTGCATCACTAACTATTTAGGCATATACGTTTTTTCAGGTATTTGTTATGGTATATGTTTAGTTGATGGTGTATAAAATAGAAATAAAGCATGAGGGAGAAGGCATTTTCGGAATTCTTTTAAGTTTCCTCGAATGGCTTGCTGATACAGAGTTGCTACAAATAAGGGGCAAACCAAATGGTCAAGGTTAAACTCTTCCTTTGAAAAATAAAGGCTATAACTGCTATATTCCGGCCTTCTTTTTTATGTTTGTAAACTAAATGTTCTATATCATTATTTACATATATTATAGGGTAAACGACTTAAACCTCCCCTAAGTTTTTCCATAACTACTAAAACCTCCCCTCTCTTTTCTGAAGGGACTTACACCTCCCCTGTTTGTTGATGTCTTTGACAAATATCACAACTCCATTAGCCATCTGTCATGATCCGTTTGTACCTGATATCATATGTATCCGACTTTGTCTCAAAAACCCAATTCTTCCCTTGATCAAAATAACAATTTGGTTGGTCTCGCTCTCTAGATATTTTCCAACCCCTCTTTCTTTGCCATCAAATGGATGTTCTGGCCATGACTACACACAGCAGACCCCATGTCCTTATCAACAACAAATCTGAAGGTTCAGTGCCTTGAATGGCATTCATAAACCATAGTGCCGTGAGGATGCTACTAACTCTTGACAAGAAGAAGCCCTGCCATATTTTTGAGGACAAAGCATTTCATAGAATGAATAGATACAGCTATGTGGGCTTTTGGACATTGAAACAATCTTGTAGGTCTGAGAATCATACTGTCACCCCATAAAAATCAGTAAATCAGATGGCTTTGAACAATGGAATCCTTAGAGATCGTTTGTAAAGAATGGCTTGCTCCTATTAATTTCAATGAAAATTCTTAGGTTTAGTCTCAAATTGTAGTTTTTGTTAACTCTTTTTTCTTACCCCCAGCCTAAAGAAAAGCAAGGCTCTGTTTTTGTTCTTGTTTCTCAGTAAAATTCCTTTTCAAAGTTCAATCAATTTGATCCTTAGGAATGAGATCAAAAGAACTCAAGCTCCTCCATATCATGACGCTCAACAACTTTGCCAGCACAACACATCCTTTGGAGGGATACCAGTGAGTTTCCTCTTCTGATCAGAAAATTCATCTTTTGGTCACATCTTATGTTATTTTGTTTTGTTCGAAAAGGCATTCCAATGCTGAAACGAACAAAAAATTGAAGACAAGGGAAAGACTTACCTGCAATGGAGGTTGAATTCTTTTCTCCATATTCTGTACATTCAGCCCACTAGTTCAAACTAATCAGCATCTCTCCCAGTGTTTTAAAAGCGCAAGGCGCAAAAAAGGCGCAACGGTCAATGCGCCTGAGACGCAAGGCGCAAGGCAAGGCGCGCGCGCCTTTTTGAAGCAAGGCGCAAAAATACAAAAAAAATAAAAAAAGTCAGAAAATTCAAAACAAAAATATTAAACATAATATAAATAAAAAAATGTGAACTTAAATTTTAAAATAAATGTTTAAAAAACCTATTATCTAAAATTAAAATACATAAACATAAGATGTAAAGCATATTTAAATGAGAATTTAAAAATAAAATCAAACATATAAAACATTTTCAAGCATGTAAAACCTCTAATCTCTTTTTTCACTCAATTGTATTACTTAATGTAGCTAATATTATGTAAAACATATTACATTCCTGATTCTACGAGCCGCCTTTGTGCCATGCCCCTCGAGGCAAGCCCAAACAAGTCCACGTTATGTCTTAAATTCTTAGTTTTCACACAAAAAATAATGATTTTATAGTTTTAATTGCTTTTTAAGAAAACATTTTATTAGGATGAATGAATGAGCAACATTACCAAATTGGGGGTTCTCGGAGCTTCAGCGAGTGAGCAAAGTGAGCGGTCCCAATTTGGTAATGTTGCTCATTCATTCATCCTAATAAAATGTTTTCTTAAAAAGCWATTAAAACTATAAAATCATTATTTTTTGTGTGAAAACTAAGAATTTAAGACCTAATGTGGACTTGTTTGGGCTTGCCTCGAGGGGCGGTGCACGGGGGTTCAGGGGTGGAGCCCCTGGCCCAGCTGCTATGTTCAAGAAAAGCAAAAAAGTGTTAAATTTTCAAAAGGTGCATGCCTGGGCGCCCCCAATTTGGTAATGTTGCTCATTCATTCATCYTAATAAAATGTTTTCTTAAAAAGCWATTAAAACTATAAAATCATTATTTTTTGTGTGAAAACTAAGAATTTAAGACCTAATGTGGACTTGTTTGGGCTTGCCTCGAGGGGCGGTGCACGGGGGTTCAGGGGTGGAGCCCCTGGCCCAGCTGCTATGTTCAAGAAAAGCAAAAAAGTGTTAAATTTTCAAAAGGTGCACGCCTGGGCTGAGGCGCCAGGCGTGCACCTTTTGAAAGGGCTGCGCCTAGGACCTAGGCGAGGTGCATACCCTGAAATGCGCTTCGCCTGTGCGCCTAGGCGTGCCTTTTAAATCACTGATCTCTCCATCTTCAAAATCATTCAGCCCATTATTCAGAACATGCCACTGCTTATCAAAGTACCAAACATCACCATCTCTCCATCTCCAAAACTCACTTTCAGAATAGAAAACTCATCATAGGAAACCCCAAAAAAAATTCTTACCACAGTTTCTAGAGAAGTAGCACAAGAATTCTTAGCTTGTCCAATGACCAGGCACTGGAAGAACATCTCCTCGAATGAAAACATACAAGTACAGTAGATGCTCCCAATGTGCGACTGCAATGTGCTATGAGGTGGGTGTGAGGAGCAAATCCAGACTCCTCAAGTGGACCTTGTTAATTAGAAACTGATGTAAACCATGGCTACCTTCACTAAAAATGTTATTTTGTTGTATTTTTTACATTTTTTCACTTCGGATAGAAAATAACGTAAACCATGGGTCCCTTCACTTCTCCCTTTTGCTAATGTAGAGAGATTCAGTATTCAAGATCCAGGGAGAAAGGCTTTGAACACAAATCAAAGGTTATGGTGAGACAATTGTTCTTATTAATTAGTTGTATGAAAATTTTTGAATCACAGATTGGACTTTTAATGAATATTTAAAGGTAAAGGAGTCTTTTTATTGATTCCAGCAGATATAATAGTTTGTTATTCTGCCATGGGAGGTTTAAGTCCTTCGAAAAAAGAGGGGAGGTTTTAGTATTTAGGACTTAAGAGATATCTCAGGGGAGGTTTAAGTCTTTTACCCTATATTATATTAATTATGAGATTACATTAACATCTTAATTTTATGACATGTATTTTCTCGATTAACCAGTTAGCATCTAGGTAGTAACTAGTCAACCCATCATGGTGCCTCACTGCATTGATAATACTGTATTTAGGTGTGAATTTGCTGAAACAACACTTGATTTTTCTACTCTGAAGGATTTTATGTCTCTGTGTCTGTGCCACTATTGTTACAATTAACTAGATCCTGATGTGGCGAGCTCTAGTGCAAGGAATGTCGAATCTCAGGGTAAACTGAGGTCATCTGGAGGTGCTGGGGTTGGTGGCAATAAGGGCAGTGAACTGGCAGCAGGTGATCTTTGAGAAGAATGTGGTTTGGAAGGTAAAAAGGATTAATGGTAACTCAAAGGATCAGTGAGGTTTTGGGATCCCTAATGCAGTGAGACAGGCCAGAAGGCAATCTGCGAACAGCATAGGTGTCAAGGGTTTTTGCCAGATTGAAGGGGGGTTTATTGGAATGTCCCTGTTAAGAAGGTGAAGAAAACAAATAAGGTTAAAAAGAGATGTAAATAAAGACACTGTTCAAACATCTGGAGTAGATGGGTATCAGGGAAAATCTGTTGTGCAGTGTTAGATGAACTTAAGGATTACTTGCAGTAGGTTTTTTGTCAGGTGTTGGAGACTGGTTTTATTTTGGGGCGATTGGGTTTTCTTGTAAGTTGAAGAGTTGTATTTCAAGTTTAGTTAGAGTTTGGGATTTCTGTCTGCTGATTTGGGATGCTATGTCTTATGTGTTTTGGAAAGTTGGTATCTTAAGGTTTTAGAGGAGGGTGGGTGGTTTTTGGGGCTGAAGCTAAACTTTGAGAAGAGGTGGATTCGGCTTCTTTTGTCAATGGCTGAGTAATTGAAATATGTTCTTTTCCTTTTTTTAATCTTGTCCCTGTTTTGCAAAAACATGGGGGGAGTATCGTTGAAAGTACCAATACACCTCTGCTGATATGTAGAGATGTATTCGAACCATGGTTGGAAGGGACACCTGCCCTTTCCTGCACTAGTTAGGACAGGTTGGTTTTGCCCCTTGTCAGGGGTGGGGGCTGGTTTGGTTTATTGGGGACTAACCTGAATCAGGTTTGGTTTCCAAAGCACCAACCTATCATGAAGTTGCATTTTTAATCAGTCCTGTCATATTGTGCATGAAGGATTACAGACACTTGGAAGTTTGTTGGGTAATTAATTTTCAGAAATTCTTATGTTCCTAGTATATAAAATATAGCATAAAAACCCTTGCCTGCCCTACTTTTTTAATGGGGTGGATCTGGTTTTGTTTAAACTCAAAAGTGTTGAGTTCAGGATGGCTTCAACCTTAGATCCTGTTAATCAATTTTGTGCATTGACCTTTAAATTGTAGGGGAACTTGGAGACAAGCCTAGTGTTGTACTCTGCTGAACCTTTAGGCTGTGTATGGTTTGAAAGAAAGGTAGGGAAATGTGTACCAGGTTTCCCTTCTTTCCCAACTTTTTTTTTTCAAACCAAACACAACCTTAATGTCGTCCAATTTAGCCTTGGGCAGGCACAATTCTATATAAATTTATTCTATTCTGTAACTTGAATAGAAAATTACAGATAGGTCAATGCCGTTCTGAAAAAAAATCCCTATCTGTTGGTATGAATATGTAAATTTACAGTTTTACACACAGTAGTTTGCAAAACTTTAAATACTGCTGCTAAATGATGAAAAAGATCATCTCTGTAGTAAAAGCTCTTGGTTTGGTATAAAGCAGTTTTTTTCTATTTGTTGGATGCATTTAATAGAAAAATAAATAAAGAGATCTAAAGGCGATTTTACAGCTTGTATTTTTGTTTCTCTCATCTTAATATGATTGATTTAATCTTATGCTAGCTTCATTTTTCATATTTTGCAGCACCAACAGGTTTGCAGGCGTTTGATTTGGTCAAGATCATTTTGTTTGGTGAATTTTCATTTTCCCCATTGCTTTCTGGATATTATAGGTAGAAAGTCTTGTTCAGAATGATGAAGCAGTATTTGACTGTTGAAATAAAATCCAATTAACTATGAGAATTGGTCTCTTCCTATCTTATATGGTTCAACTGTTAAGGTTGGTTAAATTGTGCATTACATTCCGATGCACGTTATCATAAAAATGTTGTCATTTTTGTTCTGCATGCTATACCTTTTCTTCTGTTTATTCTCGCTTCTGATATGAACCTATTTACATTTTGCCAGTACTGCAACACAGTACGGACATTGAAATAAGCTGTGGCTCACATTCTTGTGGTATGGAGCCAACGTCTTACAGGCACCCGTTAGAAATATAGTGGGTATTGACTCGTTTTATTTCCTTTATGGGTGTGGTTGCAAACTTGCGATTAGGCAGGAGTTGTGCATGCATAGAATTTCAACCCTGTTTTGTTGAATGGGAGATATGTAGAAAAAGATCCAGATGGCCGGCCTGGATTTTAAATGGTTTTCTGAGTTTCTACTCTTGCTTTGTGGGCATGCCCTAGTAGCACTTAATGCTGCAGAAATTGGTTTGTTAGGACTTTTTTACCTCTTTTTTGATAGATAAAGGCTAGGGTTTTGGATAAGAATTGGCTCCTACCTGGTCGGAGGAATTGTGTCCGGTCAAATACATTTTACGGTTAGAATTTAGGTTTAGGAGTTTAGAGTTTTTATATAAAAACCAAGAGGTGGTCGAACAAAAGCATCCGACTGTTGGAGGAGCAAATATGAGTTCGGATTTAGATTGTTGATTGGGTGGGTAAACTGTACACGAACCGGAGGATTTGGACTTGGTGCATTTGCAAGCCCAAGCCGGCTGGGCTCGATTCTATTGAAGTTCACAATGCGGTGGTCCAAACTTGTTCCAACATAGGCCTGCCTGACTTTGGGCTTAGTGTCACTTTAGTCTTAGAACTTCCAGTATACAAACTTTCAAAACGTGTTAACTTAGTATCTACCGTTAGTAGTCAGTCAGTTATCTGTATCACATGTGCAATTTAAAACTTTTAAAATCTTAAAACTATCCTTCAAAAAAATATTGTTCGTCTTCAACCTTGAGACTGAAACAGTATTCCGTGACCCAAACCCAAGAACTTCCTATGTCCTCCATTGTGATGGGCATGCCATCACTAACCTCAAGCTCCCGTAGATGGGGCTCTGCTTTCTGATCAAATGGGATCATTAGTCAATTAAAAGTATGAAGAGGGATGGGAGAGCGAGTAGGAAGGATAAAGTGACACAACACTATCCCTGTCAGATTACCCACATCGCTTTGTTTCAAAACTCTAGCAGAAACCTTGTTCTTCTCAGGTTTCCATCCTTGTCCAATGCCAAATTACCAATTACCAACATGCATTCTTTACAACTCAAGTTCAGCAAGTGCCACCTTTAAATTCAATTAAATTACACAAACAATTTACCGAAGAACCAATACGCCAGAAGAGATTGCCACCTGACACCTGTCCGAAGTGATCTGCCGCTGATAGTTCTGTGGTTGCATGGACTGCCGGACTGCAGATTGTGGTGGTGCTTATGGCAACAGATGTGCTGGTGAAACAGTGGGCACAGCAGCAGTAGATGACCAGAACATCTAGTTCTCCGGATTGGTTTGTGTGGTATTCGTGCAATTGCCCTCACTGGGTAGCTTTGCATGCTGCTCAGTATGTGGAGAAGGATGCTGCCGCTGGTGGTGATTAAGACTGCGATGGTGCAATAAAAACTGCCTCTGCCGAGCCATCCTCTTCTTCCTGGCTTCCTTTGTCGCCGAAGAACCCATTCTGAGTAGCCGATCACTAGGCCCTTGGTGCGTTGGTGGAGCTGTAGGAAGATGGTGATCGGCAGATGAGTTGTAATGAGGTGATAATGTGAAGTTCGATGAAGGCCAAATGACTGAAGGTCCAGCATCCAATAGCCTGTTACGGGCGAGCCCTCCAATTGGCAAAGCCAACTATTGGAGGAAACCCAGCTCCTGTCGCTGTTGGATCAGGAACGTAGGGAGGCTGAGGAATCCAGGGTGTGGCCGGAGAGAAGCAGGAGGTGGAGTCCAGAGAGATTGCATTACATCTTAAAATAAGATTAATGTTAGGGTTAGGGTTAGAAGAGTCCACCCGTAATGCCCAGTGGAGTTTCCGGGAATTACCCAAGCACAGGTTCCCCGGTGCTTCTCCCATTGAAGCTGGGCACTGATAAGAGTCCACCATATACGGAGGTCATGGTCTACGTTAGATGGTAGAAAATTAGATGACATTTAAAGGGAGTTTTTGTCCTTTCACGTGCTACTTAACGGCAATTAACAGTTTTGTACTAAATTGGTACATTTTTAAAGTTTGGGTACTGGATTGATATGTTTTAAGGTTTGGGGACGAAAGTAACACTACACCGAAAGTACAGGATACTAATCTGGAATTTACCCCAATTTTTATGCCATTATACCATACACTAAGGATCAAAGGATCAGTATCAGGTATTATATCAGATATTTCAAATGCAAATATGCTTTGGAAACACATGGATATGGGTAGGGGTGTCAATTGGACTGGATTTAGTCCAATCCAGTCCAGTCCCATGTGAGTCCCTTATAAATGGACCAGGTCCAATCCAATCCAATGAATGTTTTGGGCCGGTCCAATTTAATGTCTGAACTGTTTAATCTTCTCAAATTCATTTTGATTTAGATTGGTTTCAACCAAAACTTGGTCCATTGACACACATTCTTATCTTATATCAATGGACCAGATATTGGCTTAATCCAACCCAATCCAATATAAATTTGTTATGGATGGACCAGGTCCAATCCAACTAATAAATATTTTGGACTGGATTGATCAAATCCAATATGTCTTGTTGGTCCATCCAATCCATCCAAATTGATTTTGGACTGGACGGGATCCAATCCAAAACTGTTCCATTGATTCCCTTAGATATGGGTGAAAAAATATAAATGTTTGACTACATTAGAAAAAAGCATACAAATAATATAAATACATTAATAATACAAAATCTAAAGTTGAATATCTATAGATAAGTTACATATGAGAAATGCACAATTTAATATGGACATTACAATCATCAATATCATGACACTGGAATATGCATTCATCATACAATAATTATCTCAATTTTTTATAAATTTTGGAAAATTTTATTTATTTAGAATTTTTGGATAAATAATAAATTTACTTTTTTAAATAATAAATATGTTTTCATTTTTAATATATAATTTATATGTAAAATAAAACATATAAATCATATAAGAAAATAAATTATTTTTATAATTTTCAATTTTTTTACATTTTTTGGAAAATTTAAATCTTAAATTAATTATTATGGTTATTATAATTGTAATTCTATTTCAGTTTTTATAATTATAATTTGTAAATTTTATTAAAAATTCAAAAACAATCAATATACAGTTCTGTTAAATTATAAAGAATATCAAACTACATCCAACAATATGGCTCAATACAGAGATGTATCATATCAATACACAACTCTTAGGATACATATCCAACCGTGGCGTATCATGTATTCATAGCCATGGATATGATACAATATGCCCCATATCAAAATTATCATTTCAATACTTTAAACCTTGACAATACATACATTATGGTGTGTAGTTATCATTTAACATTTTACTCAATACCTTGTTAGGTGCATGCCTTTCAGTCCCACCAATACATAAAATGTACACTATAGAATATAAAGGGTCATTTATATAGTTTGCAATTGATTTGCATTTGTGTAGTTTGCAATTGAGGCTCAGTTTGGAAGGAGTATTTGTATTTGTATATTGCTTCCAAACTGAGCCTGATTTGCATTTGTATATTGCTGCAGCCAAAAGAAAAACTTTTGTAAATGGTCATTTGACCACCTAAACCGAGTGAAAGGGCTTATGGTTGTTTATTCTAATAAAAGTACCCATAGTACTTTATCAAATGGCGGACAAAATTGAAAGGAATGATCGTCCACATATTAACAAAGGCAATAAGGATATTTTATTTTTATTTTATTTTGATTAAACTTATTCAAATGGATGTTGTAATCAAACCATCATTATCTATTTCCATCTAACACAAGGTCCATTAAGTAAATTGATTACAAATTTCAAGGGGTGATGTAGTAAAATAAAAACTATAGAATATGTTTTCTAAATAGGTGAAACTATAGGGGGTCTTTTATAAAACGACCCAAATATTATTGTACATAATGATAATTTGTGGGTTTACTTCCTTATTCTCTTATAAACTAGATTGCACATATCAAAGAAAAATCTCGAGCGGCAATTACAGCATTTTTGTACTTGTAATCAAGAAACATTATTTGCCAATACCAAGAATATGATTAATGAAAGCCCAATCAGATACACATATAATGGAGAAGCATTCAGTGAGTGGTGATGATGCTCGATCCAAGGTAGTTCTTGAATCGAGGTTGTAGTCAGATGATCCTACCAATTAGGCGGAGCGAAAGTGAAAGGATGAAACCGCACTACAAGATCTGAAACCAAGAAAGTGGTCAGAGAACCGAGGAATTATCACCGAGTAGATACTCTGACACTCAAGTCAGTCGAGAATAGTGGGCGGTCGGGCCGAGCAGTTAGAGAACGGTGCTGGTCCTAGCAGAGTAACAGTACTGAAGTCAAAAGTTGGATCCTTTACCTTGAGCGGTAGGTACCTTTTTATAGTCAAAGATCCGTGTCCTGGTTGGATGGGGCTTCTAGGGTTATCAGGATGAGGTTGTCCGTTGAGGTCTTCGGGATAAGTCTTAATCCCCAACGGAGTTGTCCTCATCCATATGATGATCTCCTGTCTTGGTTGCTCTTATCCACATGGCGTAGTGCCTTGTCGCCGATTCGAGACCACGTCGTGTTGTCTATCACCCGGGGATGTAGCCTAGATCCGAGCCTTGTACTACATCTGAAGAGCATGAAGTTAGGAGTTCGAGGACCGGTGAGAGGCCCACGGATGCTCGACCAGGCGAGCTCTATGTGTGAGCACAACCTGGTGGCCGGGTTGAGGTTCCCTTTGCACGAGGGCCTTGTCGAAGTGTTCAGGTGGTACCAGGTACTACCTGTTCAACTGATGTCGAACTCCTTTAGGTTTTTTATTTGCCTTTTGTCCTATTGTTTCATCCACGGCCTTAAGATTAACCCAAGGATGGTCACCT